ACTCCCTTCGCCAACCCGGAGATTCGCCTGGCCTCCGAGTTCACCGCCTTCATTCGGCTTGGGCTCTTCTCCAAGGTCAACCCAAGTCGCTGTGCTTCACGATCGGCTATGAAGTTGTGGGTAGCGCCCGTGTCCACCATTGCATGGGTCGTTTGGCCACTCAGCTTGATGTCCACATACATCAGTTCACTACTTCCGGCTTTTAGTACCTTGGTCTTCATGTTCTCCCCCACTTGACCCCGCATAGCGTTCAACAGACGCATTGCTCCCATTCGGGGTCCTTGCGACTCCTCATCGTCGCTGCTGGATTCAGAACTGCTTGAGCTAAGGGCAACAACTTTGCCCTTGTCCGATCGGGGAGGGTGGATGGAAGCCGTCAAAGCATTGAGTGCCTGTTTTTGTGGGCACTCCCTTACCATGTGTGGTCCTCCACACAAGAAGCATCCTCCAGGTTTTGAGGCCTTGCCTTTCGGGTTCGGCCCTTTGTGGGAGCTCTTCTTCTTCTGTTCGCCCCCGAGCTCCTTCCCTCGAGAATGTTTTGGAGGGCGATTGCTTGAAGATTGTTTCCTTCTCGCTGGGTCTTCAGAGGAAACAAAGTCGGTGAGCCTTTCTGCAGCTGCAATTGCCCTGACCACGTCGGTAACATTCCTTCGATTCAGCTCCTGTTGAGCCCATGGTTTCAAACCATCAAGGAAGCTGAACAACTTGTCCTTCTCGGACATGTCCTGTATGTCCAGCATTAGTGCAGAAAACTGCTTCACATAGTCTCGGATGGTGGTACTTTGGCGGAGTTGTCTCAACTTCCTTCTTGCGACGAACTCTGTGTTCTTCGGTAGGAACTGAGTTCTCAACTCCCGCTTCAAGTCCTCCCATGTGTCGACTCGACATCGACCTTGTTGGATCTCCTCCCAACGAGTTCGCCACCAAAGTTTCGCATCTCCGTTCAGATACATTGTAGCTATAGAAACTTTGGTATCTTCAGAATCGGGCCTCGTAGCTCGGAAGTATTGCTCCATGTCAAACAGAAAGTTCTCGAGCTCTTTGGCATCTCTGGCCCCTCCATATCCATGAGGCTCAGGTGCCCTCAAATTTTGTGGCGGTGCAGCGCGGGTGTTGCCTCCTCCCGCATTTAGCGTTCTTGTGAGCATGGCCACCTTTGCAGTGAGTTCCGCCACAACATCCTGTAAGTGTTGCACGGAGTCCTTAGTGTCATCGGACAGTCGGTCGACTAGGGCCTCGACCTTGTCGATCCTGGACTCCGCTTCCTCTTGCGAGCTCTCTACCCCAACAAGTCTTTGTTGGCCATGGTAGAGTTCCTCCATGCTCGCTTCCAGAACATCCAGGCGGGTTTCCGTCGTCGTGAGTCTCTCCTTATGACTCTTTTTCCCAGTTAGCGCACCAGATTGCGCTTCTTCCACTCGCGGAGAGTTGCCAACTTCTCGTTCATCCTGTTCGCTGTCGCGCTCCTCTTGAGCGGCTCCAACAGCATGAGAGCGAGTGTGCACATGCAGCCCACCTGCGGCTGCTTGGGGCAAGGGTCCGGCTTGCCCCGTCTTGCTTGATTCGCCACGATGCTTTGCCATGGCGAAGTTGCGAAGTTCGTTCGCTGTTCGATCGAAGAGCTTGCCCGCTCTGATACCACAATGTCACGACCTTAGCTGGAATTGCCTAAGGCGTGAGGCACCCTTGCGGCCAAAGATGCGAACTTAGCTTGCGTTGCCTAAGTCGCGAGTCACCCTTGTGGCAAAGACGCGAACTTAGCTTGCGTTGCCTAAGTCGCGCTTCGCCCTTGCGATATTGCTCCGCAAGGATCAGCTACTTTGTAACCTCTCGCAGGTCCCGAAGGACCTGTAAAAGAGAAAGAGAGTTAGATCGAAAGAACGAGCAACGGACAAGTCCCGAAGTCTCGCGAAAAGGGAAGCTTTACAAGCAATTCGACGAACACCCTGTGTGCACAAGAGAAAAGAGGGAGAGGGAGAAAAACAAGGCTTTCAAGGATGAACGAACAGCTGCAAGCCCACAAACAGCAAGCCCACAAAAACAAGGCTTTCAAAATAGTCCACTACAGACCGAATATCTCTCACAAGTGTCTACATGATACGACCTTTATTTACAAGCCTAAGAAGGCCACCAAACCCAACTAAAATGGGGATGTTAAGCCTTCGACCGTTCCTTTACATGTTGTGCAAAGTATGAACAAATATAAAGATACGGACATATATAACTATTACATCAAACATCCTGTTTAGAACTTTGTCCGTGACAGCTCGCCGCTCCCGCTCCCTCTGCCGCCGCTCGCCGCTCCCGCTCCCACTGTCGTTGCTCGCCGCTCTCGCTGTCGCTGCCGTTGCCACTGTTGCTGCTCGTCGCTCTCACTATCGCTGCTCACTTTTACTGCTGTCGCTGCACCCTCGGTCTTCCCTTACACTCCTCTTTCTTCTTCTCTTTCGAAAGAATATTGTTAACAATCTACTAGTAATGGTTATGTATTTGTATTTATTAGATTAATAATATATTATTTTGATTTTAATACTGTTAATTTTTATTTATTTGAAATTATTGTTAGGTTTCAGGATAAATGGCAAGTGTACAGAGCAACTCAATAACATAATATCTTAGATTTTCTTAATTTAATAGCATATTTTTATTTAAAATTTTAAATAATTATATTTATTAATTATATTATATATTTTTATATTTTAGTGTCTCGCTACACTCGGGCGAGCGCCGGGCGTTTTTGAACCTTGGCGCCTTTTGGCGCATAGCGCTTTTTAAATCACTAGTACGGACAAGGCTTGAATGGGTCACCATATATGGTTTTTTTTTAATTTTTTAATTTATAAATCCATAGATATATGATATACGAAAAATATTATTAACTAATAATTGGCAAATAGAAAAAAAGTGGTTACATGTGAATCGTATGATGTTGCTTGTTAACTTATATGATTTTGTCCAAATGATATATATTATTTGGCTTAAAAATGAATAGTATGATGCAAAAATACGATGATAATATTTTTATAATTATTTTCATAGTTGCTTTAGGTGTTGTGATTATATCATCCTTGGCTGATTTAACCATGACCTGTTTCTCAATAGACCTACTGACCAAATAACTTGGATTGAACATGCTTAGAACTATAACATGAAATGCTTAATGAAAAATTATTAGTAGTAATCCACAAGCACCATATACCATCATATCCCTTCCAACCTCCAGTGTGGAACTGATTGGTTGATGCAAATCTTGATTCCAATCTTGTGAATTTTGCTTTCATTACGTTGAGGGCTTGGGTTTGATCCATACTGAGGCCATCACTCTACCAAACTTTGCTCATATTTAAGTCAGCCACGTCAAATATAATACTATTTATGGAGATCATTCACCATTCATCTATGACTCCATTCTGGAAATGGTGGTTCTTTTGGAAAATGATGTGGTTTTCAAGGAATGCTATTTCGTGTCGGATCCCGAGCTTTAATCCAAATATCTTAATTGTTGATTCATGCCAGATTTTCAGTAATCATTGATTAAGAAGATTAAACAAGTGAGTGTGAGGAGTGAAAGTGAGAGTGAGCGAGAGTGAATGAGAGATGGAGAAAGGTGGTGGCTTTAAAAGGCCATAACAGGGTCCAATAGTCAATTTGATTGTTGGAACCTAGTTTGACTGGAGAGGAGACCGATATGGTTGAAATCCAACCATTACCGACCCATATCGGTTGGTAATGGTCGAGTTGGGTCCGTATTGACCGATATATGAGGAATACTGATCGGTACACCCACTATAAATACATACCGCTAAAACGGGCTTGTCCACATACCAGTTAGCTGGCGGTACCACACATTTCATACTGTAATGGGCGGTATTCCAAAACATTATGGTTTTATGATGACATATGAAGTCTTCTTCTTTCTGTTTTGTGTGTTTGTGTTATCTTTATTTTTCTTCGGGGGGAGTGTGTCAGGCATTTACTTGGTTTATCTACTTTAATGCCAAACATTTATTTGGATAACTGATGATAACATATGAAATCTCCATATATTCCTGTTGTAATATAGTAATATAGAAGCATATATAATAAAGCCAAATAATTGTCTTTAGGTAGCTGTTATAAAAACAGCATATGGCTGAAAAGGTAATTGCAAGAACTGGTTCTGACACCAATAGTTACTCTGCAAGGTTGTATCTATTATCTTAAACCTATTGAAAGATGGTACATGTTGACAAATAGAAAAGAAATGTCTAAATCGATATGAAAAAAAGATTGTAATCTAAATAGCTACATGAATAAACAGAAGGTGTTTGAATGTGAAAATTGTCTTTAGGTTTTGTAGTACTTTTAGTTTAGTGCATTCACTTGTCTTACACAAAAGAGTCCTTTATCTTGTGATTCTACTTGTACTCTCTTAAGCATTTCTTAGGGACTAATGCTTCATGATTGGTTCACCCCACCCCATTATTATTATTATTTTTTCTGTAATTAAAACTCTTCTATAAAACAGTTCAGTTCATACATTTACACTCCATTAGTGTTGTAGCTCAATATATTGTATCACTCATTAGTAATTGTATCTGAAGTTGGCTAACCAGTCACTCACCTTCACTCGAGATATAGTTACAAGGTTTATTTAGGTACTGACAATTCTCTATACTTCAAAAGTAACTCTTTCAGATGAGGTGTAGGCCCAACTGAGCCCACCCTCATGGTCCGGCATTTTAGTCTGCCCCATCCCATTATGTTGATCAGATTTTATGTTGACAATCTGAAGACATCAGGTTTTCATGTTCTTTTTTCCTCTTTCTAGGCAAAAGCTTCCACGTGATTTTATTCTGTGTTGCAAATATGCAATTGTAAAAGTATTTTATGCTTAATTAAACTTATCTAATGAATTAATTGTTTTTTTATATATAATGATGGTTAGAACCAATGAGTTTATTTACATAGCATATAATTATCGTATCTTAGCCTTTTGCTACAAATTCTTATTTTGATAGGAATTGATGGTCTTCAGTCTGGCAAGTGGTTAAGTGGTAATGGTAGTGTCCTATTGGTAAATAGGATCACTGGAGAAGGATATGCTCGCGGTGAAGGTGCAACTCAAGGTACTTAATTTGCCTTTTGACTGTTGATATAATTTTTGCTTGGGATGTTCACTAGATCCTGATGCTCTGTAATTATGATATTTTTCTAGTTATCTTTGTTGGTTCAAACTTAAAGTTGCAAACAACAGTAGCTGTGATGAAAGTTGGCCAGCTATCAGTTTATGCTCCAGCGAAGACCCTGACTAATATTCCATTTCCTACCAAAGGTTACATGTTCTGTGTAAAATATAGGTTTGTATTTCTCTCTCATGCTCCCTCTCTATATTTGTGTACATAGTATATAACCAAATGTTGATGTTTATATAATTAGTTGAGCTATAATTCTATCTGGAGGATTTAGGTCTTGACAGTTCGATGAACTTAAAACTAACAGTGGGGACTCCAAAAAAGATCAACTTCATTGAGCATGATCTGTGTTATTCAAAAGTCCTAGAAAGAGAATTTATATGATTTTGATATACTGTGTATTCATCAAAGCAACACAAGATCAAGACTGTTATTAGCACTTGTATATGACAGTATGATCAAGGCCATTTCAATTAATGATCTGAACCATTGATCTCTGTTTATATAATATAGATGCTTGCGAACTTCATCTTGTTTTGATCAACTGATAAAGAAGTTCTATGGCTTCTAAACTATTTATTTTTTGCCCTTTATTGGTCTCTGCTAAATAACTTGATCCACTGTGGAGACTGATCTTTCAATTTTTTTTTTTTGTTATTTTTTAACAATCAAAAGAGAGCCTTTTAAAGCTATTCCCTCTCTTCTCCCATCTTATCTTGATGAACACATGGCTTTAGTGCCGTAATTAGAGACACCCTTGTAGGACCTTTTTGTCTCCCTTTTTGTAGGATATAACATTCTTCCATACACTAGGATCAGCATGTTCACTGACAAAAGTCTAGACATCTGTGGATCAAGCTTCACCCTTATTCCATTTCTCATCTCTTCCCCTTGTTTCTTTCTCTTTCCTGTTGCTTCATCATGTATCCTCAGTCAATATTATTTTGTATGAATTCAATGCTATTTTATGTCATACTGTCTGCCAGAAAAGACAAGGTGAAGATTTTCATAATACCAGAATCCTGAAAAGTAAGAATAATACAAAAAAATTGAAAGGTGGTTGAATTCATCATCCAAAATTTCAATGGCATCATAGAGTGCCAACCAAATCTACCTTGAAATGAGTGGAAAGTGGAAACTACTCTTTAAGTTTTGGAACCTTCAGCATATTTGTAGTGGATTGCATTCCTGCTGAAGCAGCTTTTACAGGATCCACTTGTGAAGTATCCACATGTTTAAGAAAATATTAGGGTAGAATAGCTTATAAAAAGGTGGTGATAAGACGACAAATTTGACATTATCAAAATCGTCACGTGACATGTCAACAACCGGAATTCTCACCTCATGATAATTGAGCCAACTCACTACCACCTAGGCTACAGTTATGCCACTTCATCCACCACCTCAGCTGCAGTTGGGCCTCTCCAACAACTGGAACTGCCACCTTGCAGCATTTGGACCATCTCACTGCCACCTAGTCAACAGTTACGCCACCATACCTGCCAGCTTGACTGGCGGTTGCACCCACTCAGCAACTGCTCCATCCACTTTAAACTCTGATAGTTACAGGTCTCGGAGTATAAATAGTCTCCCTCAGTATTTTTCTTTCTCTTCCACATCTTTTATTTGTACTTCAGACGTATTGCTGACTTGAGTGTCGGAGGGCCCGAGTCGAGCATTCTTGACATTGGTCTTCTTAAGGTACCCAAACGACATCCCGGGAGTGGCAGATCTTCATCGGCAAAACATCTGGATTTTACCTTCATTGTTTTCTCTGGTTGACTTTGATACAAGAGAAACTTTTACCTTTGTTGTTTCATGTGTTTTAGAAAAAGCTATTCCGATATGACTAGTATCTTTTTCTGGATGTTTTGCGTGGTTCTCCCACAGCCTAGTTGAATCTGATATTCTTTCCTCTATTATTTGCTAAAGTGAACCTGTTGACTACAAGCTGGAAGCTACTGGAAATAATGAAGCCCCATTTGATTGTCGGGTTGACCCACCATTTGTTGGGTATGTTTTGTTCAGATTGTTGTCGCACAGATATGTATCTGCACAGATAATGCAGCCCCATTTGATTGTTGCACAGATATGTTTCTCTTTTTTTTTTAAATTTTTTTCTCCACGCTGTAGGTATTCAAAGCCATATATCAACAATGTTACAGGCTACTCTTATTGCCTCTTCTTCCCATACTCACCGAAGCATTTGTTGAGTGTAATGTCTAAATCAAGTATTAGACAGCAAGGAAATGCAAACAGTGAAGGATCAGTCTCTGTCTCTATTATTGCATCACTGAAAGAAACCCCAAATGTTATTGGATCTGCACATGCAGCATTTGTTGGCGGATTTGTTTTGGACACTGAGAAGGTAAATATTTACTTATAAGCCACTTTTCTTTTATATTGTGGAGATTCACATAAATGATTTCTTTCGCAATTTTACTAAGTAACACTACATATGTTTGGTGTAGTTAAACTTGACACCAAAGGTTAATAAAAGCATCATAGCAATAATGGGGAATACAGGTATTCAAAGATAAGCTAGTCATGTTTCTTCTGTTGACTTCATTTCAATAAGCTTTAGTATGACTTTAGTTGTTTTTTATTGCAGATGTTGAGATAAGTTGGAATGCCAAAGATTTATTGTCCGTTAATCCTCTAAATATAGTCAGTTTTGGTATGGTGGGAATTATTGAGTATGAGGTGGGTGATGTAGCTGCAGATATATGTGTGTATATATATATATATATATGTATACATATATACATATATGTATACATATGCATACATATGTATATGTATACATATGCATACACATACATATGTATATGCATACATATACATATGTATGCATATGCATACATATACATATGTATGCATATGCATACATATATATATATATATATATACATATATATATATAACAAACTGTTATGCATACATATGTATATGTATGCATATGCATACATATATACATATATATATATACATATATATATATATAACAAACTGCAAAACCTATGAAATTTGTATTAATGATTATTCGTGGATCATTCATTGCAGGTCAAAGTCCTCAGAAGCCAAAAATTTAAAGATAAGATTGCAATTGTTCTTCCTGCCACTGGTATGCCATCCTTTTATACTGACAAAGTTCAAGTATAATTTCATTTTAGAAAAGAAAGCTGAGCTTTACCGCTACTGGCTTGCTACTTGTTGCATCAAATATTTCTACTGGCTTGCTACTTGTTGCATCAAATATTTCGTTGTAACGTATTTAAATTTCCCTGCACCAGTTGTCACTGTTACAATGTAGGAGCCTTGTAAATTGCCCCTTCTCAACGTATTATCAATGTTCTACCTTTCTCTATCAATCATGTAAACTAGTAGTGATTGATATCAGCTGCTTGTTTCAGGTCAGAGAACTGAGATTGATGTTACTTATGAGCCTGGAGAAGGAACTTCTGCATCAGGAGTGAGTAATATCACATGGACTGCAGTTTTGATCTGTGCTGCTGTGCTGATGGTCACAGTCGGAGTCTTCATGAGGTTGCTGGAAAGACCAGACAGGTCTTTACTGTCGAGGCAGGCAGGGCCGACATCGTCAGCTGTTGCAGGGCCTGTGACAACAGACTCTATATCCACTGGTAACTTTCAGTCCTCTCCTCGAACACCTCAGCCTTTTATGGAGTATGTGAGAAGGACGATTGATGAAACTCCATACTACAATCGGGAGGGGAGGAGGAGATTTGACCCGAGGTACACCTACTAGAATTCAAGATCTTTATACGCAACAACACCACAATTGCTGATCATGGAAAATTTTAGCTGGATATGAATGTTAGAACACGGTGGCCACAAATTTCTTGTGCATGTAATATCCCTTGTTCCATCATGTGTGAAGGTGTTGACCCTGGTTGACTTGGAAATTAAGCAGGATACCTCCTTGTTCTTATCAATCACAGTGAGGTGGATGTGATGGATATCCTTTTGTGAGGTCAGCATTATTTGGATATTTTATTGAATAATGTATGTGAAGGTGAGGCGAAAAAATTTGCTTATTTTTTGCTGAGAGGATATTTGTTGATTTCTCGAATTTCTCATTGCATAATTAAGGTTATTTGGTCGTCTGCAAGTGAATTCCACCTGCAAACGTTTAGTCGTGTGTAGTTAAACTATTATTACAAGCTGCAATGCTACTTGTGATCTAAAAGTATCGCATGTCACGCTTGTGGATACAAAATGGACGTGGATATTGTACCCCTCCTCGAAACTGTACTTTGTGCTTGTGTAACAAAATGGCTACCTCTCGAAGCCTATGTAACTTTGTGCTTCATGTCCGTATAGCTGCAGCTGACGAATGGCTCTCGGGAGCAGCTCCTCGAGGGAAGGGTGCCGTGCCACCGCTATGCGGCGGACGGATTCCAGCGTCAGCAACACCCTCTCTCTTTCCAAAGCTTCATGTCTCGGCACGTGCGACGCCAGGCAGCAGAGCAAGACTAGCCCTGGCAACTGGCTCTTTTCACCCGGCCTCAGCAGCCTCATGAGGGGCCGCACGCCCTCCAACTCCACTATCGCCGCCGCGTGCGCCACGCAGAGGTAATTGTCCGGGCTCGCGAACTTCCCCAACGCCATGGCGGCCTCGGCAGAAACGTCCGAGTCCTGGTTGCCCAGCTGCGCCACCAGTGGCCGGAGCACACGGGCCTCGCGCGCCGGAAAAGTCCTTGCCAATGACCCTAGAGCCCTGATGGCGGCTGCTTGCACCGACGGGCTTCTCCCCTGCTGTGCCAGCCGGAGGAGCTGCTCCACCACCGACTTCGCTACAGAGGAGTTCTTCTTGAATGCCGACCCCCGGAGGTCGGCGTCGGACTCCGCAGCGGCCGCGATCTCCATCACCGTCCTGAGGCAGTTGAGCTGGAGCTGGTCCTCCTCCGTCTCCATGAGCTTGGCAAGGCAGAGCAGCCCGACGGTCTCGGTCACCTTGCGGCTGCTTTCGATGGAACCTTTGCAGAGCATCCACAGGGCTTCCGCGCACGCAGTTTTGAGCTCGAGCTTGGCTGCCGGGCTCTCGTCGACGTAGCCGCCGCCATGGGCGAGGGAAACGCGAGAGCTTCGAGTCGAGAGGGACGCTGTCATGGATGGGGGTGGCGCGGTGTTAACGTCGTCGCCAAGCGGGACATCGGAGGAGAGGAGCGCGACGAGGGGAAGAATGGCGTTCTCCCTCGCGAACTCCTCACAGGCGAGGGCGTCCAATGCCGCCATGCGGGAGATAAGGGACGCCAGCTGAGACTGGAGCCTCGTGGAGGTCGAATCGGAGAGGGTTTGGACGATCACGGGGATCGCGAAGGCGTCGGCGACGGTGGAGATGAGCTCACGATCGGTACAGAGGTTGGAGAGAGCCGCGGCGGCGGCGGATTGGGAGGCCTCGTCGTCGCGGTCCTCGAGGAGGGCGAGGAGCGGCGGCACCGCGCCCTCGTCGACGATGACCCACCTGTTGCGATGGCCATCGCGGGCGAGGTTCGCGAGGGATTGGGCAGCGTCCGCGCGGTCGGAGGGCCGGGATGCCATCTGGATCGCCGCGACGAAGGTCCAGACATAGGACAGGACGGGGTCGGTGGCGGCGATCGGGGGGAGGCTGAGACCGACGCCCACGGAGGCGGCGTCGCCGCCTTCGCCGTCGTCGTAGGGGTAGAGGGAGAGGAGCCAGCGGAGGTCTGCGAGGGAGGCGTCGAGGTGGGCGAGGGCGCGGCGAAAGTCAGCTGCACCGGTGGCGGCGAAGGGGATGAGGAAGCGGAGGAGCGCCGCGGGGGAGGGAAGGAGGAGACGGCGGCGTCGGCGGCAGCGGCGAGCAAAGGAGATGGCGCGATCGAGAGAGCGGTCTGCGGAGGCGGCGACGCGGCGGACGGGGGCAGAGTAGGGAGGCTGGTGGGGTAGAGAAGAGAGGCGGCGGGCCACAGCGCGGAGGACGGCGGCGATGAGGTCGGCCCGGTGAGTGAGTTGGGAGCACTCGGCCCTCCACGAGTCAGCGTCGGCGGCAACCTTCTTGAGGCGATCGGCAAGGGTGATTAGCCGGGAGAGGTCTTCTTCGACGGTGCTTTCTCGTCGACGTCGTCCTCCTCCTCCTCCTCCTCCTCCTCCACCGGAGGGTCTGATTGCGCCGCCGGTGATCTTCCTCGTCTTCGTCATCTCTGTAGAAATTTCCATCCTTCTATATATATATAGGTATAGTATTTGGGTGAGAGGAGATCGGAGAACAACTTCGAGGAAACTTCGTCCTCGATCGAACTCCATTCCTTGGAGCTTTGTTTCTATTTCTTACGTTGACGTCTCCGTGTGAGGGGTTGGAATGGAAACCGAAAGTGTTGACGCGCAAAACGGAAGCACGTTGTGGTGACCGAATCACCCTGGTAAATTTTTTTAGCGTGACGTGGCTTTCTGCGAGACTGTGCAAGCGGGGCCCACTCTACTTCAAGGACGGGGACGCAGGTCAACTTGCCATCGTCGACCTTCTTCGTCAAGCGGGGCCCACAATACAATTCGTCATAAATATTGGGAAGAATAAGTGCATCATTCGATCGATCGGTCGTGTAATCATAGGTTTGAACGCAGAGATTACAAAATAATAATAATTTCCCAAGTCGACCCTATGAGGCTGAGTTAAGCAGTATCGTTGGTGCCATTCCTAGTTTTGTTTGTAAGGTCGAGTCCCGCTTCATATGTCCGTTAGCGTGAATGGTGGTCACATATTGAACGATTGTTTACGTGTCATATCTCTCATATTATCTACCCCATCGTATTGAAACATACCAAGTGAGGTCGAGACATAATGAACCATACAGTAGGTTATCGACTATATTATGGAATGATGTTCCATGTCTAAACTAGCTACATCATTGTTTTCTTGTATTATGTCATTGTCATTAGATATTTTGTGACCGATTCGATCACATCATTATTGAAGAATATTTCTAGACTGACTTGATCTCGTATTATCGCAAGATATTTTATGATTGATCCGATCATGTCATTGTCGCAAGATGCTTCGTAACCAGTTCAATAGCATTATCATCACATGATGCTTTATGACTGATTCAATCGTGTCATTATTGTAGGATACTTCATGGTTGATTCAACCGTGTTGTCATCGCAAGATGCTTCACTGTCGATTCGATCACGTCATCCTCTCATGATGGTTCATGACTTATTCAATTGTGTCATCATCAAGAGACAACTATTCAATTGGTTCATGATCGCATTGGTATTGAAAATTATCTCGCACATTATTCATTCTTGTCACTTTAAATTCTAGTTTGCATAGCAAACCTGACGATGGATTAGATCTGCTCGTGTAAGCCTCATTAACACATCGATTTCCCTCGAGCCTATTGCTTCAACCACAAAGCCTGATTTGATTTGATCTGATTATTGGCACTCGCAATGATTGCCTAATAGATTATTTGCATGGCATAATGTTAGAGTTTTAGGTAAGTTATCAGTCCAACCATTAAGGATTCAGGAGATGCTGCTTAAGTTGATAGAGGATTTGGACAAATGCCGAAGTAAGCAAATGTACTCAGAGTGAGCCAATTCGAGAATGCACCTTGACATCATGGTAAATACCAAGAATTGTTATGTGTATCATTCGACCATCAAATGGTCGTGTAATCATGTGTCGGATATATCAAATCAGCTTTTCCATCAATGTTGTATGATCACTCTCATAGGTTCGAGTTGACATCCTCATAGGCACACGTCACTTAGCTCGCAAAGACATCCCACTTGACGTGTTGATTGAGCAAGAATACAGTGTCGACCAAATGGAGGCTATGTATTAAGCATGTGAAAGTGACGTGTCAACAATATGTGGAGGACACGACATGTCGATAGTTACCTACATGTCATATCTCCTATATTGTATAACATACATGTTGATATAACCAACAAAAATAAATAAGATATATCAATGATATAGTTAACAAAGTTGTATACATTTATGCTCAAAAGATTTGATACGCTGATAGAAGAAATGAGGGAATATATTATCAGTCAATCATCATTCGATAAGTAGCCATCATGTGGAGTCCTTGGTGAGAGAAAAGAATCGAAGTTACCATCTATCAGTCTGCCCGTGTGGATAAGAGTCCAAGATAGATAGTTTGGGGTTGTCTCCCACTTATCACCCACGTGGATAAGACACCAAGAAGGGGTCGTTAGGATGGTTATATGCTGTCTCCCCTCCAAGATCAAGTATAAAAATACATCCCCAACACAACACTTAGGAGGTCTTTATTTCTTTTGATGACTCATGCCTGTATTTATTTCGGGTTATTAACTTGAGTGTCGAAGGAATCAAGTCAAGAAACCTTTCTTGACCTTGGTCTTCACGTAGGAAACACTTCAAGAGCTCGACGTTTCTACCTCGAAGGCACTGGACCCTATACATATGGGTTTAGACTATGTCTGGGTTGACTAAAATATTAACGACTCTTTCTTATAATATTTTTGGTACTAAAAGGAGGACATGATGTCATAGGAACGTCCACTTACCAACCCTCTCAACGAACACTTGAGCGAGGAGATTTTGCCCCCGATCCATAGTACTATCACTTGGGGGGGTGTGCAGTAGCTACCCTTTTCGCACATGGATGTGTCCACCTTAGTTCAAAAATTGATGCGATACTCGCGTCTGTTCAATAACCCAAGCCCCTCTCGGCCCCCAAGGTGATCTCGAGCCACCTACTCATCCCTGCTAAGGTGTTCTTGAACCTCACTCAGTAGGTGTATATGCTAATAGGCATGATGCAAGTGTAGGAAAATCTAGGGACGACATCACATGTGTAGCGGAATAACATAAAACAAAAATCCTAAATTTCTTAAAAGATGTTCGTCGCCGTGTGAAGATTAATGCGTAAAAACCCGTAAAACTGAAAACCATGTGTGAGATAGTTGTGTTACCTAGGGAGATCATATATTCCTGGATTCCTATAGATCTGTGGGAGAGGATGAAGGAGGTCAAGTGCCCTCCTCTCTAGCGGTGATACACACGATAGGGGCTGTGAAGGCGCTCATCGA